TGATTTTTGAATAGGTTCAGTACTTTTAATTTGTAACCGTTTGCTTCTGGTAGCTGGTGCTTCGATGGGAGGTAACGTAATTACTCGTCCACCACGAATAATTTGAATAGGTTCCTTATCGTCTTTGACAAACTTTTTCCCTGCCTCTTTATGTTCATTTGTATTCGCGCTAGTTGTTGCCATCGTTGCAACTGTTGCTGTGCTTGTCATAGTTGTTGTTACGATTATTGTCGCAGAAGGATCCAGCGATTTAGCACTTTCTTGCTCGGATGTGATCAAGGAAGGAATAAGCATGTTATTTGAGGTTATCGACTCCGACGCAACACTTCCTCCTTGTTCTACAAGCGCAGCCTATACAGTTGAAGGATAATGGAAAAGTTAAAAATGAAAAAAGAGAACCGATTCTATTTCCTAATAAAAATTAAGTTTTCGATACTATATCCTCCAATTAAAACACTAATGCTATTAAAGACAAAAATCTTAATACATGTTCAGCCAAGTCGACTCCAAGTTCTTCTTGTAATAATAACGCTTCAGCCAGTAATTCCTCTTCATGTTTACTAGCTTCCATTTCTAATGTAGCTAGTAGATGTTCCTCGCCTTCTATAGCGCCTACAAAAGATATTCGAGATTAGAATGATAAATACATATACATGACAACTGTTTCAACACATCTTTTATCTAAGATTAGTATCTTACCCGACTTACCCGAATCCAGAGCTGGTTGTAATTCTTCCGATGCGTTAGATTTTACACCCGGCTTAGACTCTGCTTCATGATTTTCTACCAAACAATCGTGACTTTCTCGCTTTTCCGTGGAGATAGAAGTTTCAGAATGTGTAGTTCGGTCGGAAGACATAGAAATAATACCTTTAATCACAAAATTTTGAATAATTTTGAACGTATAACAATTTTTTTTCTACATATACAAGTACAAACCTGAACGATTTGATGTTATGGGTGATGACGATGATGACGGTGAATGTGTTACTTGCATAAGAGAATTTCCAGAAGAAACAACAGCTACAGACGGTGTTACTATATTTTCTTGTACTTTCGAATCACCATTCGAACCAACACGACGAATAATATCTGGGGTTGAAAAAAGAGCAGGACCTAAAGTATCCACCATGTACGCTGGTGATTTACGATTCTCTTTCTTTGCATGTTTTTTCATACCTAAAAGCAGGTTAAAATTTAAGTGAAATATTTCATATATCTAGTGTATTGAGTAAGATAATCAATGAGAATAATATATAGGGGAAATAAGGTATTACAGGTAAATAAGCTACTCTTACTAACCATCAAAAACTTTGATCTCTGTTGTTTTATTGGTATCGATTTCTATTTTCGTAACACTTTCCAGACCATCAGATTTTCGTTTCTCTTTCTTCGGATCGCAAGATTTAATTTTTGAAATAACAGCAGGCGTCGTCACTTTAGCCAACTGTTGGGATTGCTGCTGTTGCACATTTGAAATCTGAGTTTGTATCATGGCAGGCTGTTGTGTTGATGACACTTGTGGTATCACTCCTTTCATTTGCGTTATCGATAAGTTTGACGTTATAGTTTTAGTAGTTACAGGTATTTGGACCAGTTTGCCATCTTTGGTCGCGAAGAACTTGGTTCCGGTTTGATTAAAAAATTTCCCTTTAGGAAGAATCACCTGCTTCTTTACGTCTATATTTTTAAGGTCATTCGACTTCATAAGCACTTGCTTTTGTACAAAAGTAACTTTTTGATTAGCTCTTCCCTGTCCTGGTTTTGTGAGAATCATGTCGCCTTTAACCATATTAGCATTGATCAAATTCGCTTTAACTTGGTTCGTCGTCTGCAGCGGTTTTTCAAAATTAACCGACACATCTTGATTTATTATCGAAGACGATTCGTTGCGTTGCGATTCCTCTTTCTTCCGACCAATAACGGTTTTAAGCTGTCTCTTGCCTTTAACGAAACCAAATCCTCCTATCGAAAGGAAAGATAAAACCGTCTTTAATCTACCATAAGTTCACGCGCCTTATTGTCATTTTATGCAAATAACTATCATAGAACATATAGTCATGACTCGCGTTGCTACTCTCATACCTGATTTTTCATCTTTCTCTGGACTCTTCATGGCATTTACAGCAGCAGCCATTTCCATATCTAATCGGCGAACTTGTTCCATATCCATTTGTTTGTTGGGCCCTCTTCTACGAGTAGCTACCATACTTCCTCCTCTGGTAGTAAGCCCTTTCCTACCGCCTCTAGCTCTTATACCACCTCTTCTAGGACCTCGTGGACCAAAATCTGAATCATTGTCAGATGGTGGTTCTGACTCGGATGATTCACTGGATGACATTAACTCTTCTTCATCCTCGTCATTAGATTTTCCTTGATCTAACCAAAAAAAGAAGAGTAATAAGAGCTATTATGATATCAATAGTGTTTTTGATAAATTTGATGGAACAGCACAGTATGATTACGTTTTGCAACACCCTGCTGCAATAAATTCCTTGGAACCGGGTGTCCGAGGGATTTAGGCGTGCTTGCTATATTGGTCGACGATCTTGTGTTGCTATTACAGGTAGGAACAGAAGTCGGGGGGATATTTTTTCGCGGCCGACCAACTGGTTTGCCCTAAAATAAATATCGTAACAATCGACTAATTCGGTTCTCTCAAACTACCTAAATACTCACAGTTTTGGTTGTAGCCTTTGGCTTGATCACGACAGTATTCTCAGCTTCGCCGACAGGGGACGATGTTTTAGATGTTCCAGGAGCAGGTGAATGTTGATGCGAGTATTGTAATCCATCGTCGGAAGTAGGTGAATCGATAACAGGCAATGGATCCCTCGGTTTTGGATCAGAAGGTGATAATCTACTTGTGTAGCAGTGATCCAACTTAACGCTATATCTTATAGAGTTTTGTTGTTCCTCTACTGTTAACATATCTATAAAATGTAGCGATTGCTATATATATGAATGGAAAGGTGGTATGAATAATATAATTTTAACAATACAGTATATTATAGAATAGAAATAACAATAACAATAATAATAATAATAATAATAATAATAATAATAATAATAATAATAATAATAATAATAATAATAAAAATACCAAGCATAGCTGTGACATTTTCTCCAAGAATTTGTTTTGCCTCCTCACTTTGTAAAGCTGTCTCTAATCGTTCCAACTGTTCTGGATCCATTTCCATAAAAGGATCGACTAAACTGGTTGCATCAGTAGATGTACCACCAGAATTAATTGCAGCAGATGTAAACATTGGAGGATCTACAGTTAATGTAATATCTCCATTTTCTGTGTCTGTCTCTGCTTGTCCTACTCTAACAACGCTGACATTTGCATTAGATTGATTCACTGAAAATCAATACGAATATTCAATATTTACAGTTGACAATCCAAGTTATCCAAATAATGTAACTTACTAATTAAAGTCTGCAAAGTTTCTTGGTCGACGGATATAGTACCATCATCATTGACAATGATAATTAATGTATCATCCTTCTTTCCTGATCCGCTCTCTTGTGGCTCGATAATGTACGAGCTAGACATTTTTTTCTAAGCTAAATTACTGTCGCGGTATTTACTGTTTTAATCAAACCGTCTTGTCAAAAAGGACAATTGCAAGATGTTGCATCCGTTTCAGCAATAAGTCGTTGTATCCGAAAGAATGAAAGATTATATACACTTCTAAAATAGAAGAGCAAACATTCGAACAAGCATCGATAGTAGAAGAGATAAACAAGAATGCCAATTAATTCGCCACGTTCTTAGTTGAATGAAAATGAAATATCGTTTCTATGTAATTGAAGCTGCCGGGTAAGACATCGAAATAGGTTGCGAATCTCACAGAATAAATTTTTTAAGATACATCAATATCAAAAATCAGAAGAAATGGAGAAAAAATAAAATAGCAAGTAATAAAAAAACTATGGTATATACACACACACACACTCATAACCACATACATATGTAGTATTATCGTTTTATTCGTGTTTGTCGCGTTGTTACCTACTCTATTAATGCACGATTGCGAAAATGGTGTTGAAAATAATAAACAGCACAAGATTTTTTTTAATATCAAATTAAAGTGATATTAATTAATAGCAGAGTAGTTAAATACACAACACCTTTAATGTCACACTTTGTAAAGAACATAACGTTCACGGTCAAGTAAACAGTACCGCCAAGAAAAGGATAGTCGCCATTTTGTTTGATTCAGCCAAGTAATGTTCCCCGAAAATTTTCAGACATCCGTCGTTGTTTCGTTGTTATTAAGTTATTCCATAGGAGAATTACTTGTATGGAACTTCATCAGCGAAACTTTGGTCAAAATAACGTAACTAGCAGAAAAATAATGACTTTTTCAACGATACATGATGTTACGAACGCACTTGTACCTTCCTGCACATACTGAGACGCTGCGCGCTCCTCGTTGCGCAACAACAAGAAGAGCAAACCACTAGCGCTATATGTGCCGCGCTAAATACACCACATTTAATCGTGGCTGACGATATAAAAATTTCATTTTTCTTAGTTCCATAACTGTTTCTCATTTTTCTCATTTGCAGTACATCAGTTTCCAGTTTATGCTATCATTAGCTTTTACACTTTTCACCGATACTATTCTCGTATTCCAAATTCTCTACCTAATTGTAAGAAACGATGTTTGATCATAATATAGAGAATTTTCAATCATAGTTATAAATTACATTGTATATACATATCCTGACCTATTTTTTCTCATTTTTCTTGTTAAATCTTAGGCGAAAACTGAAATTTTTATATAGTCGAAGACATATTCTAAAAAAGAACAACAGAGATATGTCTTATTTATTATCATATATCGTACATATGAGTTAAATAATAAAAAATCAATTTTCATCTCTTTCGTCTCTAGCATATTTGATAGATCGTATTAAGCTTAATGCCAAACTTGGAATAACGATAAATTAGAAGTAGAGAACGGCTATCTAAAAATTGGATAGATGAAAGTATAGCAAAGCAAGAAGCAGGGAGTACCGAAGAACCACGTTTGTGTGTTGCAGTGTCGCATGTGTCATCTAAAGTTTGTTACTCGCACAAGATAGCATTAGTTCTTACTCTTACTTACTCGTGCTTACAAAATATGGATATGGAAGTGGAAAACATTGAAAATATAGAGGATGTAAAACTCGATAATATATCGAAAGTGAAAAGAAAAAAACGTGGAATTGTATATTTATCTAATATACCTAAATACATGAATATCACGAAAATTCGTGAATTATTTTCTATATACGGAAAAGTTGAAAGAATCTATTTACAGTTAGCAGAAAATGGTTAGTCATTACGGATAAAACAACAAAGTAGTCTGATAAATGTCCCACTTATATATAGCATAACCTCTATTTAGTAGTAGTCAAAGGTATTTGTTTGATCTTCTGATAATATATATTATAAGACTTTTTTATAGACGAATATGCATTATGTTTTTTCCATACAGAACTAGGACGGGATGATAAAACAAAGAAACGAAAGAAAGTTGGTACAAGGTTGTTTACAGAAGGTTGGGTTGAATTTGAAAGTAAGACAGTAGCAAAATATGTTGCGACTATATTGAACAATACACAGATCTCATCTAGAAAAAGAAGCAAATTTTACGATGCTATTTGGAATATAAAATATCTACCAAGGTAACAAATTGCTTTTTAAACTATGACTGTAGTTTATTATGTAGGAATAATTTAATCTTATATTGTGTTTATTAGATTCAAGTGGATTCACTTAAGCGAACGTTTAGCTTATGAACGAGCTGTACATAAACAAAGATTACGAACTGAAATTGCACAGGCAAAACGAGAAGCAAACTTCTATTCGCACAATATCGATAGAAGTAGGAAGCTACGTCAAGTACAAAAAGATGGACATAGTAGTTTTATACCGCCTGAGATAAAACAGAGGGATACCGATGTTGAAATTAGAAGCAAAAAGGAAAACGAACCTGTAACAGATAGAACAGATTTCTTAAAATCCTTATTCGGATGAAATTTTTTTATCAGGAAAACAAGTACAGCATTTACCAATAGGCATCCTTTATCTATATTTAAATAATAAATTCGTTGCAATTATCATTTGATCAAAGAACAAATGCCTAATTATCTTGTAACGTGTTCTTTTATTTTTCGTATCTTCTGATATAAACAAAATAAGGTACTACAATTGTTCTACGTAAATTAACGAATGGAATTTATAGAAATTAAATGCTTAATGTTCCATTTGACATTTAGCATGAAAGTATATCACGAAATTATACAAAATAAACATTAAATTTATTCCGATAAAGTATTCTACTTATATTTATTTGGTGTTTTTATCTAGAGAAATAGATCCCGCATAACGATATATACGCTATATCTAAACGTTTAAATTTCCTTAAGTAGCACATTATAAAATTGCATGAAGTTGATTTTAATCTGTTGAAATTGATCATCGAACGAATAAAGGCCTTCTTTTCTTCGATATATTACATTTACTTTGTTTAACACAGTTTATATATTACATACTTGAGGGAAGAAAAGGAGTAAAATTCCAAGTGCTTGCAACGCTCTTATCATATTGGGTCAATCCTTCTAACGCTTTAGGATCTGAAAATTTCGCAATAACATTTCATTTTTCATAGAATTAATGTAAAAGTAAAAAAAAAAGAAAAGATTTTAGCGAATCGGTATGTATAGTACCAGCAGTTCGTAGATAATCATCCAGTGGTTTCTTAAAAACAGTAGTCGGTATTGCCATGCACAATCGTGGATACAAAACAGAATCGTTCGATAAAGCAACATTGCAAACCACTATCCCTAACATTTTAAAATTGGCGCGTCGAACAATGGGTCCACCGCTAACGCCACCGTGCACGCAACAATTGGTTTGAAACATGTGTCGCCAGGTTTTTGATATTATTCCGCTGCTGATGGTAGGCCGTCCTTTCAAGGAGATTGGAAATCCTATAGAAAGTATTTCTTCCCCTACGAAAAAACCATATTATTCTGTCATAGCTTATGATTATCAACGTTCAACATGAGAGATATGTACATCTTTATATACACGTGTAGTCGTGTATGTGCGCACTTGTATGTGTGGAACAAATGTCCAAAGAAATCCTTTTAATTTGGTTAGTATTTGTACCCAATTCGTAGTTAATAATAGAGGCTCATTAGACTCAATTGAAGGGAGTATGAAAGACGAGCGGAAGAAAGAAAAAAGGCAGATGGATAGTTGGATGAATAGCGAGAGGGCTTGAAAGAGGGATGGATGTTCGCAACATTTGTTCGATATCAACGAAACGTCGATTCAACCCCTCAACGATCAATTGGCTCAATTTAGACCTAGTTATTTTTCCGTCAATGAAAGAAGGTCAGTGTTGCTGTCCCTTGCAACGTACGGCGCCACAACGTCGCCTTCTACTCCATGATCTTCCTACATTCTTAATTCTTATTTTCATTACCGTTAACCAACCGGAATAACCTCCAACGGTGTGGATGCGTTACAAAAAAGTCTCGATTCTTGATATAACCGAACGTATAACTGTTAATACGAACTGCGCTAGTGATGACACCAATATGCTTTTCTTTTTCCATTTTAGCTCACACCAGTATTATGTCTAACGAATTTCTTTCGTTTTTGTATTTTTATTTTCCTATTATGGTATTTAAACGCGGAGCTTGTAGAGCTAGCTGGAAGTTAGAAAGAAAGTATGCAATTTTTAAGCGCCTTACCCTTCTGTGCATCTGTATCAGCAAGTTCGATAGCCTTCATCGAAGGTTCTTTGAACTTTAGATCGATCTTCAATACGGCAATATCATAAGGTCGTTCCGTTGGTGTTTTATATATCAAATTTGCTTCTGCAAACCATTCGAACTCGTCTGTGCGCGACATAATGCAGGTTGCAAGTTTAATTTTTCTTTCTGGTGCCTAGAAATGATTAAATAAAAAGATTAAAATAGATTCGTGATTCGCGATACGAAGAAATCCACGGCGACTTTTCCAATAACTTTAGAGAGGGAAAAGTGAAATAAGGAAAGAAAAAAGAAAGACTTGTATACCATTGTAACAACATGTGCGCACGTTATGAATGTTCCGCTTTGTTCGTCTACTAAAGTAGCGGTGCCCCAGTTCGGTCCACACTTTACGATCGCGATACTTTTTTCAAGGGTGTCTGAACAAAGGACGAACCAATGATTGTCCATAAAGTTACATGTAGAGACCCGTAGAGTTCAAGAGTGAACATCGCTAATGAGAAAGAAAGGAAAAGTGCATGCGTACCAATTTCGGGCAGACTCCTCCATGTGAAAGGTAAAATCTTGCAGGACAAACATCGAGGATCATCTTTCAAGACACGACTTTGGAGAATTCGTTTCAACAATGATAACAGGTTCACAGCGAAAGTACAATTTACCCATTCTCCGCGGTACCGGCTTAATGACGCAATTACCATGCCGCAAATATTTCTTCGGCCACTTGAAGATTATACGAAATGTTAGCAAGTGCAACGAAAGAATAAATTCAAAGGGCAAACGGCTGAAAATATAATAAATGAATTACCAATCGTTGATTAAAAATACAGGACTACCTTCGCATCCAGGGAAGCTAGTCACGTCGATTACAATGAGACACTGGTTGGTTCCAAGTAAGTTTCCAATAATTCCGCGACTCACCGAGTCGATAAAAAATGCATTTCCAAACGGCGTCGAGACTAATTCAACGATAGCTCCTTTTGTAATTTTGCCGACAGCAGCTTGTTTCGCAAGTTGAAGTAAAACTTGTTTAACTTTCGCTTTATCCGTTACTTCTGATTCTCCGCCCAGCTGCTTACTTTCTACGAATGTCGAGTCTTTTTCTCGTCCTATTGTTTCGTCGCTTAATTCGAACGATTTGCATTTGATCATCAAGAAGACAGGTAATAAAAGACGATCAAAGTCGTGTTGTTTCTCGAAGGTAAAATTTTTCAAAGAATTCTCCAGTGTTTCCTCCAAAAGAGGACATTTCCAAACGGCTACTAACTTTCCTGATTCCTTTAACGAATGGTTACGATGTATCTGAAACGTTAAATCATCGAACAACTGTTCCGATGCTCGAGCCGTGGTTAAATCTCCGGAATTTAAAACTGTAAAGAAACGAAGGAAATCCCGGGATCGAGATAAAACTGGAGCCAGCATGGAACCGTGTGCAAGTACCCAACGTTCTGCGACTAAGACGCCAGAATAGCCATGTGAAACCATTGTCCCTTCCGTCAAGGAAGCGTATGATACGAAAACATTTTCTGCCACGTGCATCGTCGATATCTCCTTGTTCCACGCTTCTTCTGTAACTGTTCGTCCTTTAGCGAAGAAAAGGAATCCTGAAAAGAAAAGAAGAAAAAAAAAACTAGTGGAAGGTATAAGAACAAAGATTACTACGCGGGTAAAATCTGTCTTCTTTTATGGAAATAAGGAGCGTAAAACGCATATTGTTGAGAATAGGGTCACAGGTGAGTTGAAAAACATTTACTCTTTTCAAACACCATCAAACGAAGCTATTTGTACAATGCATGTGTTTCTTGGTTATAGTAGTCTCTGGTCCGATACCACCGTGGCGTCCCTGCGACACCCTCGCAGTATCCTCGATTTCAGCGAGCAACTCAATGACACGTGTACTCAAGGCAATTTCTTTGCCGTTCCACGTGTATCCCAAAATTATCGTTGATCAACTGTCTTTTATTCTCTCGTCAACGCCTACAGTATCATCCTTTGCCATCGTCAATTTTCGAAATATAGCTCGTAACATTGCGTCACGCGTCTACATTTAATCTTGAAAAAGTTAATTGAAACGATGGCAGATGACTGAAAGAAAATAAAGAAGAAGGAAAGAGAGAAGGAAGGAAGAAAGAAAGAAAGAAAGAAAGAATCGTAGGAAACGAAGCGAAGGCGGGAGGAAGATGGGAACGGACAGGAAAGCTAGATAGGTGATGGAGGATAACAAGAGGGTAACGGAAAGAAACGAAGACAAGGGAAAAAAGGAAAAGAGAAAAAAGAAATCAAAGGAAAGAGTGAGGGAGGGAGAGAGAGAGAGAGAGAGAGAAAGAGCTCGTGACGAACAAGACGTAAGCTACTCGTTATTTGCAAGGAAGAAGATTGCAGGCTCTATTTCTGCCTGTTCGCAATTAGGCGGGCAGCTGGTGGTGCCGAGGGAGGTAACTCGAAGCTGAGCGATAACGCAGCGATTCTCTGGGCAAGTTGAAGGGGTGGCGAAGAAAGGGGTTCTCCCTGAAAGAGAAGGACGCGCGCACCGAACACCCGCCGAGAGGTGTATATTAGACGCGGAACGCCGCGACGCCTAGATCAGAAGGATTCAGTTCGTTGTGCTGTTACTGTCATTCAAGGAAGACCGTATCAAGGTATGTCTTTCGAGATACCGACTCAAAGATTCACTTGTTATCACAGTTATTGTTATCTCGATCGACAGCAAAGTTCTGGTTTTGGAGAAAACTCTATACCGTAACGTTGTCATTGTCTTTAAGGTCTGGATTCGTCCTCGGTATTCAGTGTCGAGTGTCGAGTGTCGCATGTCTAAGTGTCTCGAGTATCGCGTATCGTGTCGTGACTAGGGAATGGAGCAAGAAAATCGAACGCAACAGGACATAAAAGAACACAAGTCGGGTCGAATCGAATCAAAACGAATTGTATATGGATTCGAATCGAACTAGGGTTGGGTCAAATTGAATCGGATCGTTTCGAAAGTCGAAAGGATGTATCACACGCCACATAGTCTTTCTTTCTCTCGGGTTTTATAAAACTTATATAGAAATCATGGATAAGAGACACAAGATGGATAACTAAAACATGAAAAGTTTGAATGGCTGTTTTTTTTGGCTTGAATTAAATAGAGCTTGTTTAACCGTGTTTGACTGTTACAGTCACGTTCCATTTTCAAATACAGAAGCACGCCATCGAATAAATGGTCGTCCAAGACTTAAGAGACAAATAACTGAAACAAAATAACGTGTATATACGGCCAGCTGTCTACCCAATGAGATATATCGAGAAAAGAACGACGTTCTCTCACTTTCTCTAATTGTCCGCTTTAATTTATATCAATTGCATCTTGGCACGGTCGTTCGAGAGTGATATCGTAAACGTCATCAACGAATCATGTTGACGCACGCTTTCGAATGAACCGTGAGCACATTTCAACTGTTGGTTGTTTCAACGAGTCAAAATCGTTTACCGAGTTTTTTCTTATTACTGTACCGATATCTAATATATTGCTATATCTATACATATTTTTCTTTTATATACTTGACATGACTTGTATATATATATACATATTTTTCTTTCATATACTCCACACGATAAGCATTATCCATTAATCATTACACAATCTTTTCCCTACGATGAAGGTCGATAGTCAAATCGTTAAAGAACAGGGGAATAGAATATAAAGAGTGTCAGAACTGTTCGAGGAAGGAAATATTGCAGTGGAGAATGGAGAAAAGGAGCTTATAAGTGGTTAAATACAGAAAAACGGGTGTAAATATCTTTTATATGTTATCATCTGTCTAACTGATAAATATCGAGAGTGATGAAAATTAGGATAAACATGGGATGTTTAAAATTAGGTGCTGTTTAATAGCTAGGTCATATTTACAAAAAATAACATGATAAAATCATAAAATCGCGTTTCGATTACTAACAATGAACTGTATTTATATTTCATATATATTGAAATTTTAAAATGTACAATTAACGTTTGTAAATAACATAGTGTGTTGTTAGTGGCAAAATCTCTTTCGATAATCGTTGGAAACCTATGCCGTGCGATAATTATAATTCGTTAGTAACAGCCGATAAGCATATTGATTACATCGATAAACGATATGTAATGATCTCTAATGATTTATGGATTACGTAATTACGAAATGTCGCATAGGTTAAATCGATCGGTTAAAAACTGAAAAAAAGAAAACATAGATACGTAGACGATCCAAGAGCACCATTTAAATAGTTTTATCATTTATTTATTATTAAGAAATGATAAGGCGATCGTGTAAGTGACGTTAGGAAAATAACCAACGTAACCACTTATTATTTACCATCATAATCGCACATGGTATACTAGCGACCGGCCAAGCGTTCGACCGACTGACCGACCGACCGACCGATCGACCGACCGAGCGACCGGGCAAACGAAAGAACGAACGAACGAACGAACGAACGAACGAACGGAGGGACGAACAAACACCGATCCAGAAAGCTATTCTGGGAATTTGCTACGGAACTCGAAGGCGAGCTACTTTCCGTTTTCAGAGAAGTTGTCGAGTTATTTATAGCTCAACCCTATCGTGGTCCGTTCGTCGGAAAAGGACATTTCATCTTTCTCCCGTTTCTGTCTTTTCTTACTAACGTTAATTTTCTTCATGGAATCTTTGCTCGATATTCTTTGCTTCGCTAATTGTAAGTACTAGATACATAAAAATCGGTTTGACGTGCATATTAATTTACGTTGATTCGATTCGATAGAATTCATCAAAGTAACAAACTAACCTATAAAAAGCCTGATGGTAAATATGGAACGGAGGAAGAGTCTAACGATCGTCCCAAACCGTTGACCGATTATTTCAAAGCTTCCATGATAGAAGATGGATGATCACACACGATTCGGAGTTTCATTCTTCGTTGATGGAGAGAAAGGTTGATTTGCATAGCCGTATTTGGAAAATTGAAGTTTGGAATTTTATTGGAAGAAACGGCGAGAACAGAACGGCACGGTGTTAGGGAATCGGAATAGAAAAATTCGAATGAATTGTGTTTTCGGACCGCATAATACTTTACGTACGAGTAAATGGAGTATAACCATTCCGTTGTGACTCGCGATACGGTTCGCCGCGAGAGAACACGAGCACGCGCGTGCAGAGGTACAACTGAAAGACAGCGAAAGGGAGGAAAGGGGAAGGGAAGTGAAGTAGGATCAGAGGAGGGGGTTAGCAATGAACGGGTGCGCGTAAGAGGAACCTAGGCTGATCGTAGTTGTTTCGAGTGGCCGCTTGACTCGCACAGGAGGGTCTTTTAACCGTCCATTCGCGTTAAGTGGCAGTCGTACCTACAGAGGGGCTCGACCGCAATAGAAAAGGATGGCAAAGCGTGTGCGTGCTTCGCAGCCCTACACAACCAGTCCGATTCCGAGTCAGTATTCACTGTGATTGGCTACTCTATCACCGATGCTTTGCTCTTTGCTCTGAACCTGACAAATTGGTGCCGCGTGTCGTTACGTTTCGGACGTTATTGTATTTTCCCCTCTCTTTTACAGTGTTCCATTTATGCGAAATTTACCGTTAATTTTGCTTGTCATATTTCTTCTTCGTACTTGTTTGTTTTCGTCCACCGGTTATCAGTTTTCCCGTATAATTTCTACACGCCACACACGAGAGAAAAAGATTTTACATCCGTTGCGTGATCTTGTCCTGTATTTCTGCATTTTCTACTGTCCCCCAAAAAGGGAAAGGAAAGAAAAAGAAAAACAGGAGAAGAAGAAGGCAAACTCGAGCCTCGTCGATTAAACTTTCCGTACAGAATTAATTCTTAAGTACATGCACGATATGTAAAACAACGGGAAACAAAAGTAGAAAATTTATACGTGAAAGAAAAGTTGGTGTATTACGTTCGTTCCATGTTTTGCAAGAAAGTTAAAACGTTACTGTGAACTACTAATACTTGTTAGAATTCGAAAGGGAAAGAGAGGTAAGAAGAGAAAGGGAAAAAGGAAGACAAGGAGGAGGAAGAGGGTTACGAAGCAGAAGAGAAAACAAGAGGAGGAGGAGGAGGAAGAGGAGGAGGAGGAATAGAACATAGAGCAGAAGAAGGAGGTGAAGGTGGAGGTGAAGGTACAGGTGGCGGTGGTAGTGGCAGCGGTGGTGGTGGTGGTGGTGGTGGTGGTGGTGGTGTGATGGTGGTGGTGGAAGTGAAGGTGCAAGTGGTGGTGGCGTTGGAAGGAGAGGCGAGAGTTGGACTAAAAAAAAGTAGGAGAAAGAGTTGAAAAATTAAAAAAAAGGAGCATACGTATAGTAGAAGATGAGAAAGTAATTACGCGTGTAGGTTAAAGGAAGAGTTATCGTATACAGTGGCGTATCAAAGACATATTTCGGTGTTTGATTCGGTATTAAGATTATAAATTTGGTGAACGACTGAACGAAGCAAGAACGGTTGTTGTTGGTACAAGGAGTAGCTGTCGACGTTGGAGCCAAACGCGTGAGAAAATTGGTCGGAGCGTATGCACCGACTGGCACGGATACAGACATTAAACCTATCAGCCCTCCTCATCGTTGACAGAGTTCTCTCTCAATCGTAATAAAGTTCAATGTTACGCAACTAAAACAATGATAAAATTATGAAAAAAAAAGAAAATACGTGATACGTAGAGGAGAGTTCTTGTGCAAATATAGAGAAGAATACGTTGTGCGAGAATGGAACAATTATAGGTAAAAACGAGCTACATATTGGGAAGAAGAAAAGCAAGCTAAAGCTCGAAGCTACGTTGTATTCGCGCTGTAAACGTTTGTTACCGGTGCACGGTATCCTTGTGGAAGGGAAAACTGCTAGTCGATAACGATGATCAAATTTTCTTAAGTCTCGAACGTATCAGTAGGGCTGATTTCGATTTAATTCGGTGTTCTTCGAGGGAAATGAAGCTGCCGGCGCGTATAATCCACCATGGAGGACAACGACCGTCACCGCGCTACGAGGAGCCGTGTCAACTTAGCGATTCGCTACGTGAGTTTCGAGAGTGAATGTTTCTGTGAAACTACCTATTTTGTAAGCGAAACTTATAAAGTATAATTGTAGTAAAAAAAAGTGAAAAGGCATGTTGGAGCGTGCGTAACATTTAACGAAATATTTCATCGAAAATAACGCTGTCTTTCGTTATTATGCATATTAATTTGCATCGATCGCTGCTTCGTTTCAGACGTGTCAATTTTCTACATTTTCTTCTCTTTTATCCGTTATTTCCTTTCATACCTTTCTTTTCTTTTCTCTTTGTATCTTCTTTCATAATTCTTTGGTTTATTTCTTTGTTTCTTTCGTCTTTGTACTTTTACTTTGTTTCTCTGCTCTTCGTTGAAATTTCTCCACTTAAACGCGCAGCCTGATAATCCGTATTCAAGAGAAACGATAAGATGACACGAAAATTACCTGTTCTTTTCCATACGAGCTGAATATTTTGAACAAGAGCAGGAAATTTTCAAGATCTTACACTAAGTTTTACCTTTTCTTTGTTTATACTTACATATGTCTAATCGAGTCTCATTTTGGCCCATGGTTTATGCTTTACTGTCGTTCGATGGACGACATTTGTCGTGTAAACGTAACGAACAGTTGGTTGCTGAAAAACTACAGTTGTTTCTTGATAAAAAGCTGACGATGATTGTATACAATTTTTGCATTAGATTTTTGCGTTAAAAAATTGGGAAAGATTTATTACAACTGGCTTTGAATGGAGAAGATAAAATGACGCAATGAACTTAGTTCTGTTGTCGGTTGATGCAACCGTGACGCGAGTTTACGCGACCATGACGAGACAGTTTCTAAAGTAGCTCGGTTCTTTCCGAATAGGTTACGCACGGTGTTTGAGAAAATCGAAATGACACGGAGGGAATTTTCTAGGAAATTTTAAATGTACGTTCTTAGAACGCGAAATAATAAAATATTTGTTGTACATAGCCTGACTCGGCAAAATATTGTATATTGGACGAAAACAAGCAAAGTTTATATGGCATCTTTGGTACTTGTCGTTGCATATTGACGAGGAACGTTGAACGAGTATCTTTCGGAATATTTTTTTTAAGAGCAGAGCATCTGTACAAATGGACGATAGAGCGTACGAGAGAAAGACAAGGGTGAAGCATTCTCGAGTAATGTATCGAACTATATTTAATTACCAAAAATAATATACGTGGAACAAGCCAAGTATGGCATCTAAAAAAAAGGAGTGAGATCTAAAAAGACAATAAGATAGAGGTTGCAATTATATAAGAAGTAGATAGCGGTGATAGAAATAGATGTACATATGTATATATGCAATGGAAACGTAGATAGAACTGGTATTGCCAGTGATGATATTGACGATGCTGGTAGATGTAGTGTTAATAGCGTTGACGATGTATACTAGTGATTCCAATGATTGCAACAGCGAGTAACGGTGACGGTGACGGTGACGATGACGGTGACGGTGACGGTGACGGTGACAGTGACTATGACGATGACGATGACGATACTGATAGCAACGTTAAGGACGTCAATAATAATAAACACTACAGAAGAAGAGATAGTGCATAGAAACACGGTACTGGTCAGAAATTCGAGTATCCTACGAACGAAGATAACCAGCTGGAGGTAACGTCATGTCGGAACTCTTTCTTTAGTTTGTCGAGCATATTTTATCTTCGTTGTGCTGAAAGAGTTAGTAACCGTAAGAGAAAGGACCAAATTACTTTGATACGTATAAAGGAGAGAGAGTAAAAAAAGGAAAGAGAGCGGATTTACGTATACACGATGGATACGTGAGCGAGCAGAGAAGAAAGGAAAGATTAGGAAAGAAAGCCGGATAGATAAATAAAATAATGGAATAAGTAGATGAATATACAAATAGGCCAATCCGATCGGTTCTTCGGATTGTCACGCACGGCCCACCTGTGCGCGGTGGATCGCGTCGGAGAACGGCTGTCCTTCGATATATCTCGCGTTGTTCGGCCCCGACGGACTCGGTGCTTGGAGCCGTAAGGGGGTGGGTGGCCGAGGAGGCGGGCGGGCATTCTGCCGCGCGCGCGCCTTTCTCGAGATCGCGATACCACAGTTCCGCGGTGGTACTTGTCTCGCATGTTTCCTTCCGCGACGTTTGAGGAACTACCTCGAAGAAGGAAGTGTTTCACAGGAGACAGAAATACGAAAGATTTCCGATTTCCCAAGAGAATCAAGTGGTCGTCGAGCGACTAAACGATCGTTAAGATACTACTACGGGAGGCGAGGTGGCGCGTACGAAATATCTAGTGAAGTGATTGTTGTTTTTCAGCCTTTTAAAGCTAACGTTAGATCGAAACATCGGAAAGTAGAAACGAAGTAAAGAAGGAATAAATAAGGACTAGAATCGAGACCAGCGGAGACGTTCTCGGTGAGATCGACGTACGATTTCTTTGATATCTTTCTTAATATCGTCGGCTATCACGACGATATTAAGAAAAGAGAAGAGAAGAGAGGGAGAGAGAGAGCGATTAATAGTGGATACGAAACTGTTTAAAAGGGAGGGTGGGAGATAGGAGGGGGAAGAGGGAGAAAATAGGGGGTGGAAAGCAGGTGGGAGGGTGGGAGGGAGAAAAGAGGAGGAAGCAGGAGAAGAAGAAGAAGAAGGAGAAAAAGAAAAGGAAGAGGAAGAAAAAGGTTACTGTAGGAAGGGATTTACCATAACAAAACCAAATTGCATAAAAACGATCGTCTCGGCTGTAGGAAATAGTTTGTACAACTGGAAAACAAGCGAACAGGAGTGCTGCGAAGCTGAGGAGAAGACAGAAGAGCGGTATCCATAGAAAGAAAGTTTGAAAGACTTAACAGCACACCTGAAGATAAACAGTTAGAAAGCATAACAAACGGGAATACGGTGAAAGAAAAAGGGAGAAAGAGCATTTTAAATGTAAGTTTTATATTTTTGTTATGTCTATCCTACGGATACAACGCGATACTTTAATTTCAATGCACTTATGATCGTCATTTCCGTTAATCGAGTCAAATCAATAAGACAGGTCAAATAGTTTCTCGTTGTTCTTTCAATTATTTTCATCTCGTTGGAGAAACATGCGCGATAAGGAAGACCCAAGGTTGGACATATTTAAAATTTGATAAAATAGAACGAAACTGCGGTTCTCTT